ATGGATGGACAGCCTTGGACACTCGTAGACTCCGTCATTGGTATATTTCCATTTATAAGGCCCTACTAGGACTTCTTCCATCATATTTGTTGGCCTACATAAATAGAAAGTCCACTGGCGGATACTCTCTTTGTTGCGAGAATTTATTTTTGCTTTAAAGTCCGAACTGAACTTGGAAAGAAATCTTTTTAGTTTTCTGCTCCAGCTTATTGGAACCAGTTGCAGAGATACTTGAAACTAAAAGGGCTGTTGTCACTAAATGTTTTTAAGGTTGTTCTTATTGATTTTGGGAAAGAATCATCTGTTTGTAAATGTTTTAAATGAGGAATCTTTTATTAATCTATGATGGTGCTGTTTCTATTTTTGCTGTGAATGTTTTGTAACCTCTGTGTACCGCTGCCAGTCTTGGCCAGGATGCCCATGCAAAAGAGATTCTTAATCTCAATGGGATTTTCCTGGTAAAATAAAGGTATAATAAAAATATAATAAAAATAATAAATCTTTATTATTTGCACATTGCACCAGTAAGAGCAGAGTGTGAAAGTTCAATTAGCAGATAAGCAGCAGATGCTGTGGAGCAGCATCCAAACCAGTAAGTCAGGTGATGGGGCACATGACCCTCTAACAATAGAGCCAATCAAGCCTATTGTTAGGCGATGGCCCTCTTTTGCATGTGACTAACCTGTTTGTCCACCATGTGGAGGCAGTGCTTATAAGGCTGAGTTCACCTGAAACTCAGACTGAAGAAGTCTCTTGGAGGAGAGACGAAACGTTTCACTAACATCCAGAGGACCTACTTGGTTTTTTTTGACACCACAGCATGTGGGCATGACAGGGAGTCAAACCTGTGACTTTCTGCTCCCAACTCAAGCTGCACTACCGCTGAACCACAGCTGCATCACAGACGATTTGTCTGACAGAATGTGAAGTATGATGAAGAACACTAAACATCATAATTTGTTCTCTGTGCAGAAAATTTCACTTTAACCAGTTTGATTCCAAACCTGTGGAGCTTTAAGGCTTCTGCTTTGTGTTTGGTTTGCTTAATAATGTAAGGAAGGACTCATGCTACTTTCAAACTGAACGCGTTTTGAGCTGCCAAAAAGCACAAAACGCCTCAAGTTGGACGCACTATGTTCAGACCAGAACAGAAGCAGCAGCAGATACGGCAGCGGCGTGTGGGAGGAGAGTGTCCTCGGCGGGTGAAATAAAGATAAAATAAAAGAAAATGGCTTTGATTTTTTTTTACTAAAGAGCAAGCGAACCTTGCGTACAGCAGATAATTAACTCACCAGATGATTTAGAGGCGATTTGTTTGGTTAGTTTCGTCACTCCAGAAGCTGCCAGCTCACGGACTTTTTTTTGTCCAGAGTCTGCCAGAAAATCCAACTGCACACGGTCGATTTCAGGTAAAGATCTCCAGTCCGTCTGTTTTGGTTTTCAGTGGGAGACGTGTCGAGCGGCGAAAAGTTCAGATATTTGAACTCTGGCGGCGGCTGCTTCCGTAGCACCGCATGCGCGGAAAATGCTCTGCGCCCCTTCCGCCTTCCTTGCGCGCCGCCCAAAACGTACGTGATGCGATGCACGACCCCTAGAGGCGCCTCCACCATAGACTTTGCATGTGAATCGGCCGCTCCTGCCGCTCAAAACGCATTCAGTGCAAACGTACCATAATGGCTTTTAAGGGTTTAACTCTTAGCTTTTAGAGTCATGAAGCTTTTTTACGTCTCACACGGGAGTATAACCAAGGCAACCGATGGAAACCTAACTTGCCTCTGATGAAAGATAAACACATGCAACAAAACTATTCCAGACTACTTAGCTCCCTTTGAAAAATGAACAAAAAGAGTAACAACAAAACAAAAAAAACAGAGTTTAATTTAAAGGACAAAACGATGAACAAATACGATCAGAACAGAAAAGAAACAAAGCAGAACAACTTAGGTTTGTAACATTTCATCAGAATGAACAGAAAGACTTGTGTAACAATGTTCTTTAGACAGATAAAACCAAAGTAGAGATGCTTACCTATAATGCACAGCAGCACATTTGTCCTCAGATATGAAGCACAGTGGTAGAAGGCTGATGATTTGAGCTTGTTTGCCACTAAACCTGAACACCTCAGAGTTTCTGAGTCGACCATGAAACCCTCTGTAGACCAAAGGATTCTAGAACAGAGGTCTTCAACCCTGTTCCTCCTGACCCACAGTCCTGCATGTTTTAGACCAGGGGTCTCCAACCTTTTTTTCCTTAAGAGCTACTTTCACAAAATGAAATTGTCCGAGAGCTACTTTCTGCAACATTTAATTTTAAACTTAGTAAGTAAGTAAGTAAGTAAGTAAGTAAGTAAGTAAGTAAGTAAGTAAGTAAGTAAGTAAGTAAGTAAGTATGTAAGTAAGTAAGTAAG